TGACTCTCGAGGTTCTCCATGACAGGCTTACGTCTCCAAACTCTTGTCCACTCTCCACCCTCATTACCAATTCACGCGCTGCAGACAGTATACTGTTTCACTTTCCCATTCTCATGGTCCCCCGATGTACCTTTTCTGTACCATTTCTCATGGGGTTTCTACTGCCTGGATTATTTTCTTCCTTTCCCTACCCCGCTACCTGGATAATTACTAATCCTCTCTCAGGACCCAGGTCCCATTTCAATTTCCCCTGAAATTCTTCCTTTGCCATTGTATTTGGTGCCTTCTTTTGAAACCCTCTGGTCTTATTCGTATCTCCTACTAGGCCAGGCATGGAATGTATCGGAATCATCTCTCTAACCCCGGTGCACGCAGTCTGGTCTCGGCAAATGGTTAATAAAGATCTGGTTATTCTGGAGTGTCAATGAAACATAGTAGTAAAGGTGCTACCATTTCCTGAACAGCAAGTGGGGCCGGAGAACAGGGAAGGAAGGCAGCTGCAGTCAAGCAGACCTGTGTTTGAACCATTACCCTCTTTCTTGCACAGCTGAGGAGCCCTGGCAAGCCTCTTTTTTCCTCCTCTGTGTAGCGAACTAACGTACAAACTCTGAGATGTGGGGGCCTGGGTTCCATTTCCATTTCCAATACCACCTTAGCTATGTGCCTGTAGAAGTGTGTTTGAAGTTCTTTGTGCTTGAATTCTTTCATCTCTGAAATGAGGGTGATGATAGTTTCTTGTTTTCAGAACTGCTGTATGATATTGGACGAGGCCTATACAGCTATTGGTACAATGCATGGAACAGATAAATCAAGGGGAAAATATATAGCGATTGTTATGAAGTAAAACAGAAATATTAATATTGCCTAAAGTCAACATATGCGTATGCATGGGTTCAATAGATTGTAATATTACCATTATTTTAAAAACTTGTAAAGCACTTGATACACATGCTCACATTTAATCATTCTTCCAATGGTGCTGCAAAATACATGGGGCGTCTTCATCGTCACCATAAAAAAATCACAGTGCAGAAATTAAATATCTGACTGAATTTACCCATCCTGGAAGTATCAGGCAAGTATAAAAATCCTCTACTTGCTTGTCTAGAAACTAACAAGAGTATTGCCTCATAGAAAAAAATAAAAACACAGCTAAACACTCAAGCTATTTGGCGTCGGACAATTCTATGTCATTGACAGAAGGCCTCCCAAACTGGTCAGTTTTCAGCTTCAGTGGTGGAAATAAAAGCAAAACAATACTAAGTATCATCGACCCATGTGTGGGGTGGAAATCACACTGGCTTTGAAGTCAGACAATTCACAGTTGGATTCCAGTCCTCACTCTGACCCTGAAGTCACTGTTTCTTCGTCTCTTTCACAGGCCTACCTGTACCTGCTGTGGAGGGTTTCTGGGAGCCTTAAATGACAAAATGGATAGCATTCCTAGCTCCTACTACCTGGCACATAATAGATACTTAATCAATACTGCTCTTATCTATCATGGATCTCGTATCCATATTACCTGGTTCACAAGACTTAATTAACTACAGGGAAAAGTTCCCAGCGGTGGCTAACTTCAATCAGAGGAAGATCCCTCCAAAAAGCTGTAAGTTTGTTGTTCCACATAAAAATTAAATGCAGTGGCCTACGTGGTAGTTAATTTCACATTCTTGGGGTGTCCAAGCAGAGATGAATGAACACTCCATCAGCAACTTATAGAAAGCAATTTAAACAACATATGAATAGATGACTTCTAATGTATAAACTTGGCATTCAGTATACAATGGATAGGATATGAAAACGCAGAAGAAATCTTTAGACGGAATAGTTTGAGGCTAATTTTGTACAAAATCATCCTTCACGTGGTTTCAGCTTACTGAGTAACCCCTGAATGGTCCAATATTGGCTGCTCCATGAACTGAGACTGACAAAGCCATTAGGAGGTAGGGTAAGTTTTTTAGGTAACTCTAGTTAGGACACAGGAGGAGTTCTGGAATAAAAACTGGGAAGTGGGGCTGTGATTTTTGGTGTGAGAATTGACCTTACAGTGTCCTTAACTATGGAACAGGAGTCAACTTCTTGTATTCATTCTTGGAAGCTTTGTGTTACACATTGTGCTTCAAACAGCCCCCGGGCACAGATAAAGTAAATTATAGAAACACTTTGTGGAACTGTGATGTGTATTATCAAGGAGGAGTTCCTTCTGAGCTTGAGTTCCTTAGTTGAACAGATTTCTGGATGAATACAAATAATTGTTATTAGATAGGAGGCTGCCAGTCACCATGCCTCACCAAGAAAACACACTCCTCCCACATCCCCTTATTTTCTTCCTGGGAATTTTGCCAGAAGGGCCGGGAGCAAGTGTTCGGGTTAGCAAGTAGATAGCAAGTGTTATCTACTTCAGTAAGGCCCTGCAGCATGTTTCGGTTCTCTGACATCTGTAACATCAAACGAACGTGAGTCGAACAGACCGAACAGACCGAGATAAATAAACTATGCAGTGCCACGTCTGCTGAGCTGTCTCTGTGGTTGGGGAGGCCAATGAGATTAAATAGGCAAGAGCATTCGCACCGTCAAGAGTGGGAGGTTTCTGGGACTCCTGCCTGTGGAGGCTGTCAGGAGGGGCAAACAGCAGAGTGAGGAACACATGGGAGACCACAGTCTGTCCTTTTCTGTTCTTATGCTATTAGACACGTACCCAGGGATCTCTGCCACTGCCATGATTTCAGCCATCGCCTAGGAGCAAAGGACCTTCCCATCTACATTCCCTGACCCACGTTTCGGACCTACGTAACCAAATTCCTATTTGACATCTCCATATGGATATCACAGGGAAACCTCAAGGTACAAGAAAGAAAGAAAGAAAGAAAGAAAGAAAGAAAGAAAGGGAAACCTCAAGGTACAAAAAAAAAAAAAAGAAAGAAGAAAAAAAAGTAAGAAATAAAATGGCCTGGCAAAATGACCTCTTTCCTCATGGAATGCGGTCTAGACAGAGTTAAGTAAGACACACACATGAAAAGATTGCTAATAAAACAAGAAGAAGTGTTCTCAGGAACAACAAAATAGTGATTTAGATAAAAAGTGGTAGAGAAGCTCAAAAGATGGATCTTTCACTGTGGGCTGAATAGGGGAGTGGTCAGAGTTGAGATATGAACCAGGTTTCCAAAGGTGAGCTGGTCTTGGTCTAAAATTCAGGCTGAGTCACCCTTGTTAATCTCAGGGAACATCGGACTAGACTCATCTCTGCTGTTAATAATTAAAAATTAGTGAGCAAGCTAATAAATGAGATATAAATCTTTATAAAGGCATATTACATAAAAATGAAAAGAAAAGCAGAACAAAACAAAATCAAAAAGCTTTATCTAGTCACTTTCTCTTTCGGTTCTTTCCTGTAGACAACTACGTTTCCTTGCCTTCACAACTTGAGTAGCTAGGTGAGAGAAACTTAGGCAGGAACGTGTTTCAAAGATTCAAGGAATTGGGAGTAACTGACCAAAGCCAAGAATTAGAGTAAAGATGAGAAAATGATGGATAAAAACCATTATTTGTACCCTCTCCCCCTCATCCTCCACAACCCTAATGCCAAGGACTTTACATGCATTATTCAATTTAACCTTTTCTTGATTGTTGAAAACAATTATTATTTTTTGGTTAAAAACATTCAAAGGTAATATATGCTCCCAATATTCTGAAAAGAAAAAATAAATCAATATGAAATTACAGAAAATAAAAAAAACAAAATCCCTTACCCTCCCTCCCAATCCTATTCTCAGGCAGTAACCAGATTTAACAATTTGCTGTGTTGTGAACATGACTTTCTTTAAAAAGTTTTTTAAAGATTTTATTTATTTATTTTTAGAGAAAGGGGAAAGGAGGGATAAAGAGAGGGAGAGAAACATCAATGTGTGGTTTCCCGCCACGTGCCTCCCACGATCCCCCCACGTGGACCTGGCCCACAACCCAGGCATGTGCCCTGACTAGAATCGATCCTTTGTTTCACAGGCCGGCACTCAATCCACTGAGCCACACCAGCCAGGGCTGAACATGCCTTTTGACAGCAAAAGACCAAGGTACAGGTTACCCTTTATTCCTAGAGGAGGAACAAGATTCAGAAACATTCAATATCTTGCTCCAGGAAACACAGGTAGAAAATAATAGAGCCAAGTATTTGAACTCAAATAAACCAAGCTCCAAATTCTAAGTTAAAGTGGACCACGGGATTATAGAGCAAGAAAATATGCAGTAACCCTGGAGAAACTATAGAAACTGACCTAGTTATTAATACATTTCCAGGGGCCTTTGACCTCACATGACCATGGCCCAGACACAGCTCCCAAACCCGCTGAAACTGAAACAAATTAATTGGGTGAATACTAGGCTGAATGGAACGCAGAAAAGATGACAGCTAAGGCAAAGAAATGGGTATCCTGGAGAATTATATTTTGTACTAGCATTTTGGGGGAAGCCATACACCCTGGGGAAAAAGCTGACTTGGCTTTAGCGTGATCAGAATAGCCAAGGCAGCCTTTGGATTCAGTTAGTTCACACTGTGTTACTGAAGACGTCACCGAACCTCCCTGAAGCTCAGTGCTCTAAAATGTGATAGTCATACTCACCTGCAGGGTTCTAGGGCAGGATGCAGATACTAGCAAATTATCATCCACATGTGACAATAGAAACTGCTTTCTGGAATTTTCTTAAATTTCACATCATTTTTGGACATGCATGTATCAAACTTGTCCAACAGCAAAAGGAAATTACACTTTTCTTGGAAAATACCTCTATTTCTTTAAGATTAAAGACTAAAAGAAGTACAGTTAGTTACCTGTGTAAGCAAAGTTGAAAGGCCTTGTCAGAGGAACATGATGCTTGGGAGCCACTGTGGGATGGGAGGGGTATAAGAAGACACCATCATCACCGAGCATCTCCACCAATTCTTTATGCAGGCTTTCTTTCACTGCTGTAAACTTTCTGTATTTCTCGCTGCTGTATTTGAGTTTTTTCTTCCAATAAGGCCAGTCCTACAGAATGATAACAGGAAACAAGTTAAGGTATGACATTTCATTTCCAATTTTAGTGTTCTAAAAAAGTAAATAAATTCTAGTGTTCTTTAATTTATCTTTTCTTACTGTAGAACATCAAGGAAGTAAGAAAGTGGTGAGGAAGAAACCTTATGACCTTGCCACCCATACATGAATAGTGTTGACCATTCAGTGCCGAGTCTTAGTCTTTTTCGACAATGCTGTCCATGGAGTTCTTGCTTCTCCCACAGAGCGTTACCTCATAAGGGTTTACGACTGTGAAATGTATCATAGCTTTTTCTTGAACTAGCCCATGACTGTCGGGCATATGAACTTTTAAAAAAAAATTTTTTTTTAAGATTTTATTTATTTATTTTTAGAGAGGGAAGGGAGGGAGAAAGAGAGAGAGAGAGAGAAACATCAATGTGCGGTTGCTGGGGGTCATGGCCTGCAACCTAGGCATGTACCCTGACTGGGAATCGAACCTGCGACACTTTGGTTCGCAGCCCGCGTTCAATCCACTGAGCTACGCCAGCCAGGGCCCTTTTCCAAAAATTTTAATGTCGTCATAAACACCTTCGTGCATGGAATTCTTAGAAAAACTTTGTAATAGAGTTATAGTTTTAGAGGATTCTATCCAATGTATCTTCCAGTTTTAAATTGTTTTAGGAAAAGATCATTAACACATGCACATGTACACATATTTTGCACATCAGTCAACTATGCATCATATGTGCTTACCAGATCATATTCAGTATTTAATACTAATATTTATTTTAGTAGAGTTTACTGACTTATTTAAAAAATAAGTTTATTGCTCCTATTATGAAAGGAGCACATAAGTCTAATAGAAAATTTAAAAAATTCAAAAGATTACAGTGGAATAAACAACTCACCCCAAAATATCGTGCCCGGGGGAAATAGTTGCAAATGTGTTAGCACACTTAGTTCATGTACTTTTCTGTGCCAATATTATGTCTTTGCTCACCCTGTATGTAAAACTTTCCACATTTTCCACTCACCATTTTAACTACATTGATACACACGTTATAAATATATCTTTGTTAACTTGGCCTTAAGTGCCAGCATAAAATTTACCCTATATATGAATGATAATTCACTACCTTTCCCTCTGTTGTTAAACCTTTAGGATGCTGATAATTTTTTGTAAAACATACCGCAATGTACATCTCTATAATTTTTGTACCATGGTTTCATATATTTTTATCTGAAGAGTCTAGCTTCTGGCCAAAATCCACTTGAAGTTCCCAGTATGTGCATGGTTAGGTTCTATCTCACATGCTTTAGATGCATAATTCATTTGACTAGTCGAACAATGCAAGGCAGCACATAATCCACTCAATCACATAGTCAATACATACTTTCATTAATTCCTTTTTATAGAGGAGAAAAATGAATCACTGACAGGATAAACAACTGAATGAAGGTTAAGCAAGTAGTATCTATAAAAGTGAAGACTGGACTTCAGTTTGCAACAAATAACCAATCTCTATTTGCCTCAGTTTCTCACTATAAAGAGGTAACAGTACTTTATATAAGTACTTATATATACTATCAGACTGTCTTAAATGCTTAAAGGGACAACACATACAAAATACCAAAAACCTAATATTTGGCACATAGGTACTCAATGAGCATCTGTTTGTAGTAACGGCAATGTCCAACTCTGCAACAAGGGTGCACAGCTGCATTAACTTCTTTGGAGAGGTGCTTCAACTAAACTTACTCTACAGGACCAATAATTAACATTTTACCAGGTTAATTCACCAGAATAGTCCTGTACGGGCCAACACCTAAAGTCAAATATTTTGTCCAAATGTTCCATTTTGTATTTAAATACAATACATGGCACGAGAAAGCATCCTAGGTATTTGAGTTTGTGAGATAAACATTTCAAGAGCACCCTTTAACTTGGTACCCATCCAACCTTTATGAATTGAGGTTTCTAAGCCTATAAAATGGGCATTGTAATAGACACACTGCAAATCAATGAGATAAAATGCACAGGACTCACTAAGCGCTTGGCGCATAGTGAGGTGTCAGCAAATGATGAACGCTAATTCATTATTAATATTTCCGCTTTCCCAAAGTGCTGCGAGTGGTTCTTATATTCTTGGTAAGATGTTCTTCCCTCCCCTAAAGACATCAAAACAGAGAAAAGATGATTTCTATACCAATGGCAGGGATGGTGTGCACTGATAGGCCCAGGCACCATTTGACCAATTCCCACAGAGGGTTGATAGGCTTCCCACGGTCACTAAGCAGATCCACAAATTTCAGAGGTTCCTGAGATGAAACAAAACTTTATTAACCGATGTCACATCAATAAATCTGATTTTTAAAAAGAGCTGGGAAAGGAAGAGATTAAATGTAAATGTGAAAATAAACATCTCAAACTGCTAACACAAGAAATACAAGTATTCTCTCAAAAAGGTATGTTTAGGACAATATGAATGAGAATGTTCACAGCAGCACAGTAAATAATAGCCACATAACAATCAGCTGATGAACAGATAAACAAATTATATCAATTCAATAGAATATTGTTCAGCCATAAAAAAGAAATAAGGTACTGACATAAGGTACAACATGGATGAAATGCAAGAAATATTAAGGTAAGGGAAGGAAGACCATAACAAAACACCACACAATGTACAATTTCACCTATTTGAAATGTCCAGAATCAGCAAATCAAGAGATACAGAAAGCAGGTTAGTTTTTGCTAAGGCTGTGGATCGGGGCAGTGAGGATATTGAACGTGACTGATCATGAGTATGGGTCTCTTTTTGTGGTGATCTCAGGAAAATGTTCCAAAATTGATTGCCATGAGGACTGCACAATTCTGTGTTTTAAAAACCATTTAATTGTGTGCTTTAGATGAGTGATCTGCATGATGTATAAATTATAATTCAACAAATCTCTTATAATAAAGCAACAAAATGGCCATAAACAAGTATGGCTGAGGAAATGGCCACATCCTTTTTCCATAGTAAAAGCCTCAAGTACCAACCATATAATGTACTTGTTCTGAAGAGATGAACCATTACTGAGCTACATGGTAGAGCCTATGAATACTGTATCTGAGTCAGGCTTCACAATTCAAGCTGAGAGGACACCAGTTCTTTTCACCCTCTTGTCTTCTTTCCGGTTTTTAAATTTAGGACCAACTTTCAAAATCAGCACTTATGTTAGGAGTTTCTCCAAGTTACTCAGTACAAGAGACTATCTCCTGCAAGTGCTAAGAATAAAAGGTTTGTTACTGATCTTTGATTTAGCATTGTTCTCACACTCTGATTAGAAACCTATATCTCAGAGTCTAAACATCTAAGCTTGTGGATTTACATGGACTTCGTATTCTGAGATATTTCCAAGGTGCTTATATAAAAGAAAAAGTGTATGTGTTTCTTAAACATGAGTATAGTGGCTGGTAATTTATTTTCCTGGAGGTAGAAAGGGATTGTGAAAGTGCTCCTTTATTGAAGGGCTACTAAATGTCACATACTTTACTACATATATTCTGAATCCAGAAAATAATCTTGTAACGCAGGTATCAATAGCTTCATTTCACAGATGAGTAGAGTGATGAATAAACAAGAACTCTCTCACCGAAAAGAAAAAAGAGCTGAAAGTGGCTTGCAATTTGTATTTGGGTCTGTCATACTCCAACATATACATTCTTAATGGCCACCATATCTACAAAAGTTAAAAGACTTGAAAAGGGCTCTCTATTTCTTCATAATGTCAAATGCAACTTATTATTCTTAAATAATTCATATTTAAAATTTTCAGTGAGCCTGAAGAAATCATAAGTAAAGCATCTTTCACAAGTACCCACATCAACTTCTAAACTTAGCCAATAACACCAGGGTGAAATACATTGCAGAAAAGTGGATAATTGTGTGTGTATCTGTAAACACCTCTGATGGGGGAGGCAAGCTGTGATCTTGACCACTGGAATTACCTGACCACTTCATGCTTTACTGAAGCCTAAATGCTCTGATACCCAGCACACGCTTTACCGGGATAAACCTCATGCCACTGTACCCGCGTTCTGCTTGGAACACCCTGTATAACTTCTTTACTTAGTGAAGGCCTCCAAATTATTCAAGCATTGGTAAATAGCAATCTTACACCAGGAAGCTTTTCCTGACTTCCACCTAGAGATGGGTCCTCCCTCTGTGATCACACAATCATATATGCTTATACCAGTAGAGCACTCACCAAACTGTATAATCCCAAAGTATTTAACTATGTCAACTATTTGCTTATGAACTTCATTCCTACATATCTAGAACATATGGCCCACAATAGAGGGCCAATAAATCTTTGCAAAAGGAAAGAAGAAAGGAGGAAAAGTACTGAACATACCTTCCCATCATATGCTCTTGCTGACATCATTGTGACCCATAACTGAAAAGAATACTTCATTTGCTTCAGTTTAACGTGTTGAACGGAGGCTCCTAGCGTATTTCCCAGGTGAGTCACAACCTTAGGTAATGAAGATAGAATGGCAGATAAACATGTGTAGGACAAAGAGAAATCATTGGAGAGTGCTGTCAGCAAGATGGCTTACAAGGAAGCTCCAGGCCCTCATTGCTTCATGGAAATACCAACATACAGACCAAATAGCTCAGTGGGACCTCTGAAAACCAGTCAAGAAACTGCAGCAATAAAACAAATGACCAGAAAAGAAAAGCTGCCCTCAAAATGCTAAGAAATCTCACGGGACCTTTGCTCATTCTTGTCCCACCCCCCTTCCTGGCACAGCGCAGAAAGATTGGGAGGAAGCCGCCTACCTAACTACTAACTTCTACCTTAGGGTGGAAAGAAAGGAGTGGAATTTGCTTGCAGAGTTCTGGCTAATACGGGGCAGCCTGGAGCACTGGTTTATCTCTTGCTTGTCAGGGAACACTGATGGGCGGAATTGAGTTATAGTTTGTCTATCAGGTCGGAAACCATCAAAAGCAGTGGTTGGAGCTGTGGCATGAGAGAGTTGCATGGTTACTGCAGACCTGCGAGTATTTGGGTATAAGATATTACAGACAGAGCTACCATATAAAACAACTAAGGGTTTGAGAAGGAACAGGATGAGACACTTAGGGAAATGAAGACATTAAGGAGTGGTTATATGTACAGAGGAAATGGAATTTTTAAAAAGTGCAGGCTCAAAAAAAGACCCAACTCCAAAGGTTTTGACAGAACACTAAATCTTTAGGCCAGGTTAATTAGTAAAGGACTTCCTCTGCACAAAGGCAGTCCACAAAGATGAGGAGAGGTTGATATGACTTTAAATACCTAATTTTTTAAAAGATAACAAGGCATACAAAGAAACAGGGAAACATAGCCATTCAAAGGAACAAAATAAGTCTCTAGATACCAATCCCCTTGGCTTACTTTACAAAGCTTTGAAAATAACAGTCTTAAAAATGTTAGTGGGTTAAAAGACATCCTGGACAAACAAAAAATAAAAAAAATACCCGATATGAACGAAATTACAATATAAACACAAAGATGTAAATTGTAATAAAGACACGACCAGAAAATCCTGGAATGAAAAAATATAATGAGTGAACTGAAATGTTCACTGAAAGGGTTCTGCAGAAGGCTGAGACCTGCAGAATAATAAATCAACGAAACAAGCCTAAAAACAGATCATTGGAAAATATTGGGTCTCGGGGCAAAAAGAAATAATGAAAACATGTGAAAAGAGAGCAAGGTATTCATAGGATGCCATCAAGTGGAATAATACATACATTATAAGAATCCCAGGAAAAGAGAAAAGGAGACATAGATGTTATTTGAAGAAATAGTGGCTGAAAACCCCCCAACTTGAAAAAAGAAATGGATACACAAATGCAAAAGGGTGAACAAATTGCAAATAAGCTAAACCCAAAGAACCCCATAGTGAGAACTATTTTTACCACAATCTTGAAAATCAAACACAGCCCTGGCTGGTGTGCCTCAGTGGATTAAGCACCGTTCTGTGAACCAAAGGGTCACAGCTTCGATTCCCAGCCAGGGCACATGCCCGGGTTGTGGGCCAGATCCCCAGCAGGGGGCGGGTGAGAGGCAACCACACATTGATGTTCCTCTCCTCTTTCTCCCTCTCTTTCACTCTGTTAATAGATAAATAAATAATTTTTAAAAAATCAAACACAAAAGAAGAGTTTTTCAAAGCAAGGGAAAAATGACATATCATATACACGAGAGCTTCTACAAGGATGAATGGTTTTCTTAGCTGAAATCTTACAGAACCAAAGGAAAAAAATAACTGTGAACCAAGAATAAATGTGTGGCAAAACTGTACTTCAAAAATGAAGGCCATGAGTGACATCAGCATTATGCAATATAAGTAATTGCTCTTTTTCTGAATTTATAAAACAAATTTGACATCCATAGCTGAACAAATGTGGCTCTGCCCATTACACCAAGGGATCCAAGAGGTTGCCAATATGTTGGTGCATTCAAAACCAACAAATGGAACTTAGGTAGGGCCTTCAGATCCAAGGGAGTCCACCAAGTTGCCACATATCCACTCTCAAGTATTGGGAAGAAGAAACCCGGAAAGTGCAAAACTGGGTAGATATATGTGAGTGAGATTATTCACTCACCTGGAGATTATTCACTCCAGCCTGCCTGAAGGGAGATTCAAGCATGGCATTGGAGAGACAGACAAATTAGAAAGCAGAGGAGAAGGAGGAATTTACCAAGGCAGTCCTGCTCCCCAGGGGCACACTGCAAGTGCTGAGGCTTTTGACAGCAGCAACAGCAACCTCCTGGTATGTTGGAATTGAGCCATAGTCTTTATCAAATGCACTTAACAGACACACATAGAACATTCCATCCATCAACAGCAGAGTACACATTTTTCTAGTGCACATGCAGCATTCTCTGGCAGAGATCGTATGATAAGATACAAAACAAGTCTGAGCAAACTTAAGAAGACTGAAATGTTAGCTGTCTTTTCTGAACACAGTGGTATGAAGCTAGAAAACAAGAACATAAAGAAAGCTGGGGAAATTTACAAATATGTATAAACAACACATATGTGAAGAACAAATGTATCAAAGAGAAATTAAAAGGAAAATAAAAATTGTCTCAAAACAAATAAAGAATCCCACAACATATAAAATTCCATGGGATGCTGCTAAAGCTTACTTAAACAACATTATAGACCACAAGAACCCGAGCCAAATTCAGAACATTCTAACAGCAGTATATGCATCTTCTCGGTGCACATGGAACATTTTCCAGTATAGATTATTTGTTAGACCACAGAATAAAGCTTGAGAACTTCAACGGGGTAAAAAGCATGCCAAATATCTTCTCTGACCACAATGCTATAAAACTGGAAATCAACAACAGAAGAAAAACTAAAATACAAATACATGGAATTAATAGCCAGTAGATTAAAGAAAAATTTAAAGAGCAAATAAAAAAACCATGTGATAAACAAAAGGGAAACATATTACACCGAAAGTAATGGGAAGCAGCAAAAAGAGTTCTAAAAGGTAAGTTCATAGCATTGAAAACATATACTAATAAATAAAAAGATCTAAAATAAACAACCAAATTATAACCCTAAAATAACCAGAAAAAGAAAACAAACTGACCTCAAAGTTAGGAGAAAAAGGAAATACAGATTGGAAACATACAATTCACCAAGACTGAACCAGGAAAAAAGAAAATCTGAACAGATGAATGAATGCTCCTAAGAAGACTTAACCGGTAGTCAAAAATCTCCCAGCAACACCAAGAAATACAAAAGATTGTAAACAAATATAATTAGCAAGTTTATACCAACAAATTGGACAACCTGGGTGAAATGGATACATTTTTAGACACATACAATCTTCCAAAACAGAATCAGGAAAAATAAAATCTGAAAACACCAACTACGTGACAGAAAAGCAATAACTAAAGAAGTCCCAGAAAACAAAAGTCCTGGACTGGAAGGCTTCACAGGCAAATTTTACCAAACATTGAAAGTAGAACTAACACATATTCTTCTCAAACTATTCCCCCAAAATGCAAGAGAATGGAATACTTCCAAGCTATTTTTATGAAGCCAGAATTATTCTAATTCCAAAACCAAGTAAAGACACTATAAAGAGAAAATTATAGGTCAATGTCCTTGATGAACATAGATGTTAAAAATCTCCACAAAATATCAGCAAAACAGATCCAGCAATACATTAAAAAGATCCTATGCCATGATCAAGTGGGATTTCTTCTGGGGATGCAGGGTTGGTACAATATATGCAAATCAATAAGCATGGTATATCACATAAGCATGGTATATCACATAACAAAATGAAGGATAAAAATCACATGATCATGTCAATACATGCAGAAAAAGCATTTGATAAAACTAGCATTTACGATAAAAAACTTTAAACAAAGTAGGAATAGGGGGATTATACCTCAACATAATAAAGGCCATATATGACAAATCCACAGCCAGTATCATACTGAATGGGCAAAAACTGAAAGCGTTTCCCTTAAGACCAAGAACAAGACAGAGATGCCTGCATCCACCACTCTTATTCAATGTAGTCTTGGAAGTTCTAGCCACAGCGATCAGACAAAAAGAATATAAAGCATCCAAATTGGAAAGGAGGAAGTAAAGCTGTCATTGTTTGCAGACAACATGATACTGTCTATATAAACCCCCCCAAAGACTACTAGAACTGATAAACAAATTCAGTAATGTAGCAGGATACAAAATAAATATTCAGGAATTGGTGGCATTTTTATACACCAATAATGAACTATCAGAAAAAGAAAGTAAGAAAAATTATCCCATTTACTATTGCAACAAAAAGTAAAATATCTAGAAATAAATTTAATCAAGGAGGTAAAAGACCTGTACTCAGAAAATTATAGGATACGCAAGAAAGAAACTGAGGGAGATTCAAATAAGTGGGGGCATATATCATGTTCATAAATAGCAAGAATTGGCATCATTAAAACATATATACTACCCAAAGCAACCTACAACTTCAACACAATTTCTATTAAAATATAAATGGCATATCTCACAGTTCTAGACAAAAATATTCCAACAATTTATATGAAACCACAAAAGACCCCCAATAGCTAGAGCAATGTTGTGAAAGAAGAACAAAGTTGGGGGTATCACCCTACCTGATAGCAAAGTAAACAACAAGTCTAGAGTAAACAAAACACAACCGTACTGACGTAAGAACCTGCATACCGATCAAAGGAATAGAATAGAGAGCCCCAAAATAGACCCATGCCTTTATATTAAATTAATACTTGACAAAGGAGGAAAGAACATATAAGAGGGTAAAGACAGTCTCTTCAAAAAATGGTGTTGGGAAAATTGGGACACATACATGCAAGAGAAAAAAAAACTAAACCACCAACTTATACCATTCACAAGGATAAACTAAAAATTGATTAAAGACTTAAAAATATAAGTCATGAGCCCTGGCTAGTGTGGCTCAGTCGATTGAGTGTCAGCCTGT